AATTACAGCCGGCATGTAGCAGGCGCTCACTCTGGCAAACAGAAAAGCTAGTTGAAACGCTAAACGTCGGCACGAATGTAAGCGCTAACTCAAGGGCAGATGTGCACGCCAACAAGACATAACCACTAACTGTGCCCGCTCATCTTAGCTCGATTCGATCTGCGAATTCCCATGCGGATTCGAAACAAATGAAATTTGCTCGCAGAACTCCACAGAGGTATCCGCTAAATACGGCCGCAACTTCTCGGCTAGTTTGAACCGGCCCAGGGTGCGCCAGAAAAAACGCACAACCGCGCGCCTATAACTCAAAGTAGCGACGTCACCAAGCTAGAGAAAGCCTGCATTCGCGGAGTCAGCTTGCATCGTACTGCTCATGTGACAAGAAATTCGATCCTGGAAAACCGCTAACAAATCAAACGAAGTAAGCAAGAACGATTAACGCCCGAATTCGCCCATAAGTTAAACCGGTGAGATCGCGCCCGAATTGAAGCCGCAAAGTCAGCCTAGCCTGGAATTCGCCCCACCTGCAAGTTAAATCAGAAACTAAGCGAAAAAAACTCTGGAAGTGGGCCAACAAATGCGCTTATCAATTAAGTTTCGGATCCCTCGGGATACATGTGAATCCCGGGGTCGCGCCGAAACCCGCATTTCCGCTGTCGCCACTATGGCCATCGTCGCCACTGGCAACAACATCATCATATTCGTCGCCCCAGATGCCGCCGTCAACGTTATCCCTCGCGCGACCGAAACATGGATCTGCATGAACATAGTTCGCGCGTCCATCCTTCCGTCGGACTGTTCGAGCACGTTCCGATTCGACTCGGGCGCGACGCGCCTCGCTTTTTTTTTTTTTTTCTTCTTCTTCTTCTTCTTGTGCGCGCCATCGCCAGGCGCGCGCGCGCCGCGTCGATCCCGCGGCGCGCGCGAGGCGCGCGCCGCCGCCCCAACGCCGACGCGCGCGGGGGGAAGACAGGCACCCGACCAGAAAATAACCACAGAACGTGGAATTGCCCACAAACTGCGCAACAAATGGGGCCTCCAACGCGCCGCCGCGACGAATGCGCGCGGCGCCGCAGCGAAAGCCGCGCATTGAAAGCCGCCCGCCTCCACCCGTGAAAGTGTCGCACGCGAAACTGCTGCAGCGTTTGCAGCGAAATCGCGCGGCGCCAAGGGCCCGCCCTCCATCGGTGAAACTGTTGCGAATTTCAAGCTTGAGGATAACGGGCGGCGAGGAGGTCCCGCCCCGCGGGCGCGCCAAGGGGCGCGACAGGGGGGGATAATCTATATGGCAAAGGACGGACGACGAGGAGGATGACCGAGAAGGATCGAGCAGGAGGAGGATCGATGATGGGGGATCGAGCAGGATGAGGAGGGGAGGGTGGGGGGGGAATATCGAAGGGCAGCAGGAGGAGGATCGAGGAGGAGGGGCGAGCAGCAGGAGCGGCGTCCCAGCGCGCGAACGCAGGTCACTGCCGAAGAGATCGCAGTTGAGCGCGCCGTGGGCGAGCTCCATGGCGGTGGCCTCCCCCCTCCCGCGGGGGGCGACATTGTCGCCGGCCCTTCTGCTGCCTCCCCCATCCCCGCGCCGGCGCTGGTCTTCGTCGCGGGGCTTGCGGGCTCGCTGACCTTGTCTTGCGGCGAGCGGCCAGGGAGGAAGGGGCCGCGCCCGCGGGCAACGAGCCGCTGGATGCGCTGCGCGAGCAGTTCCGCGCGCGCCTCGGCCTGCGCTGCGTCGGCAGCGGCCGCCGCCGCGCCGGCGTCCGCCGCCGCGGGCCCCGCAGGAGGTGGCCGCCTCGCTTTGGCACCGGACCGCGCCTGAGGCGCCGCCGCGGCGGGCGCGTAAGCTCACGCGTCGCGGAGGGGTTCCAAGTCGGCGTCGGCGTCGCGGCCGGCGGCGGTCAGCGCGGCCGGCGGCAGACCCGCGGCAGCAGCCGCAGGCGGATCTCCTCTGCCTGCGTGAGCAGCGCCAGCTCCATCGCGCCGCCGCGCGCCGCGAGGCGTTGGCGGCGCCCCCGCTTCCGCGCCGCCTTCGCTGCGGCGGCGGCAGGCAGCGCGGCGGCAGCAGGCTCGTCGCCGGCGGCGCCGGCGTCGGGCCCCCGATGATTTCTGCGCGCGAAGAGCGCGGCAGAAGGCAAAACGAACCGCGGCAGCAACGGCGCCCCTTGGCGCCCGGGCCAGCGCGGCGCCGCGCGCGGCCGCCTCCGCCGAGGAGGCAGCCCGCGCGGGCGCGAACGGCGCCGAAACCCTTCTATGCAAAGAAAGGTGCGCCGCCGCGCTCTGGCTCAAGTCTCCGAAGGCTCTGCGGATTGTGAACCCCTTCCCCCCTGCCGCTTCGGTCTCCCCCGTGGCCCTCCCGCGCGCGCGATGCCGGGGAGATCCCGTTCCCTGATCTAGATCGTGCGATGGCCAATTCCGACCCGTTCGTTCCGTTCCCTGGTGGTTGACACCCAATGCGCGATGACGGTGGTGATGGTCTTTGGGACGACGGTGCACTTGCGCAGTTATTGGCGAACGTGCCCGCCCAATCGGCCACGCCGGAAACTTCGAGCCTGGCGACCCAAGGTCTGCCAGCTATGCTGCTGCGTCACCGCCAGCTGAAGGACCTGGACTCAGAACTGCCGAGCTCCCATTCTTAGCTTCGCGCGTCTCTGAACCTCCACGGCGCGACAGCCGCGCGGCTGCGTCGCGACCGCCTGCAACTTCTAGCTGAAGCTCCCCCGTCTTTTGCTTCGCCAGCGTGGCCGCCGTCAGCTGCGCGGTCTCAGGGCCCTGCGCTCGACGCGGGCAGCCTCTTCGTGCGCGGGCTTGGCGAGCCCTTCTCCATGGTGGCGAAAGACCTGAAACCACTGTTGGGCATGACGTCGGGCGGCGGTGGTAGTTTGAAGCAATCTTTGTCTGCCCATCTGAAGGGGCCAGGACCCTTGAAACAACGATGTCTTGGCGCTCGCGCATCAGCGCCAAGCTTGCCAGCTGGTGCGGGTTGCAAAATGGAGGTTTTGATGGGGCTGCGCAGAGTGCCCCCGGCGCACGACGCACCCGCCTTCGCTGCGCCCCATGCCGCGCCAGCTTTCGAGCCCAGCGGGCATGCAAACAAGAGCGTGCGTTTGCATGTGCAAGCGACGCGCGCGCGGCGTCGCCGCGCTTGCAGCTCTCGCCCGCGCTGTGCTGGCATCCAATGCCGCGCGCGTCTGGGCCCAGAACGACAAGTTACCGGACCCTGAACCTGTCGCCGTCAAAAGCAAACTGCAACGCGCTTTGCAAGTGCGGCGGTCGAATGCGACGATCTGCGCGCAGCGGGCTCCACCCGTTCTCGGCGAGCACAGCCGCGCTCGCAGAGTCGATTGGTCGGCGAGATCAAGCCGCTGAAGGTCGGCCTCGAGATGGTAATCATCGCCAGCCCGGGCGACCCTGAAGCCATCTTTGCGATGGCCGAGCAGTCAGCCAACGAAGTGGCCGCCGAAGCCACCCTGGAGCCATATGCTCCATGCGCGCCATGCGCGCCGCCAGCGGAAGGAGGAAGCGCGAAGGAAGGCCGTGCGAATGCTTGAGCCAACTTGAGGAGGGCGAGGAGGAGGCCGAGGAGGTCCAGTGCAAACCCAAGACGCATCAACGATGTTGCAATGGACCGTCCCCTCAAATTCCCTCTTCACAAGCCCCTGCTGTCATTTATTTTCGCTGCTGGGAATGCCCCGTTGGGAAACAATCGTCTGAGAAATCTCAATCGCGCCGACGCACAATTATTTTTGATTTCAACGTCAATTAGTCGGACGATCCTGAATCGCACGTGAACGCTACCCCCGGGACTTCCACTCCGCAAATCAGCGTGACGGTGGCGCCCTGACAATCTGAACCCGTGCCGGAACACCATTTCTGGGACGTTAAGCGCAAGAGTCCGTCACACAATTGTAAACGTTTAAAAACGATGTGCGCACAGCTGGGGGGATATCCGTGCTTTCAGAAAGAACCGCCCGCCATCCGTTCAACTCTGACAAATTTTGAACACGAGTGGGTGCGGCGCGAAGGCGGGAACCACATTTTGAAGACCATCCGCCCTCCATCCAGGCAGCTCTTGCGATCTTGTAGAACGAATGCGCGCGGCGCCGGGGCGGGAACCGCAGTTTGAAAACTGCCCGCCTGGTATCCGTGAGGCCCTTCCGCACTTTGACAACGAATGCGCGCGACGTTGAGGCGAGGGCAACATTTTGAAAACCACCCGCCCTGCACAACTATGAGCTTTCGAACTTCTAACATGAGTGTATCTGGCGCTGACGCGAAAATCACGTTTCGAGAAAGGCGCCGCCCACTATCCGTGAAGCTCTTGCAATCTTAAGAAAGAACGAACTTGCGGGGCGCCAAACAAAACGAACACCATTTTTTGAAAAACGACCCGCCCTGCATACTTGACACTCAAGCACATATAGAAAAACGAGAATGCGCGCGGCGGTGAGGCGAGAATTTGATATTGAAACCGACCCGCCATGCACAGTAAAACGCTTGCGGCGTTTCAGAGCGAATGTGCACGGCGCTGGTGCGATAACCACCTTATTGAAAATAAGCCGCACACCATCCGTGAAATTCTTACAATATGTTAAGACAAATTTGCGCGGCACTGCGGCGAGGGCCTCATTTTCAAAAGGAGCCGCCCTCTATCCGTGCAACATTTGCACATGTTTAACACGATTGTTCTTGAAAGCGGCCTGCCCTGCATCCGTGTGGCTCTGACAAACTTTGACCACGAATATGCGCCGCGCGCAAGCGAGAACCACATTCTGAAAACGGCCTGCCCTGCATCCGAGAAGGTGTTAGGAAGTGTCAAACTTCAGAATCATAATGGCGAGAATGTCTCAGGCGAAAGGCCCTTGCCCCGCGTGCGACGAGGAGGAATGACGGATAAGGAAAATGGATGTAGGAGGAGGGTAAAGGGACGAGGGAGGGGGGGGGGAAGGAGGAGTGGCGGAACTTTCCCCACCCCCGAAACTCCCCCCGCGGCGGGCGCCGTCCGAGTCGCTCCCAGGGCAGACCTCCTTCATGGTGCCTTCGCCGAGGTTGGCCTGCAGCAGTGCCCCGAGCAAGTTGGTGCCTCCGCTCGGCGCAGTGGCCCGGCGCCGTGCCCTCCTCCCTTCTCCATCCTCCCTCCTATCTCATTTTTCCTCCTCCTCCTCCTCCTCCTCCTCCCTCTTCCCACCTCCCTCGTGCTTCTTCTTCTTCCCTCCTCCCTCCTCCCTCGTCCTGCCTACTTTTTCCTCCGCCCCCGGAGGGGTGCCTCGGTTTTTGGGTGGCACACCGGGGCCCCGTGGGACAAACTCCGATCAGACGTGACCTGTGCGGTGGCTGCGCCGCGGGGGGTGCGGTCAGGGACCCGTGGGCGGACGCCTTTTGGCCTTTGGCCAGGGGGCGACCGCTAGCGGCCTTCGGGAACCTGGTTGTACTCGCCGTGAGGGCACGCGTCCCTGGGTTCATGCGGACCGGTGCTCTGGGCTGCACCGGCTTGCACGGTGCCCACCTGCACGGAGGTGGGCCCCGTCCGCTGTCACGGCCCACCCGTCGACCTGCGGGTTCCAGGGGTGCGGACACAGGGGTCGGCCCGGGCGCGCGGCTCGAAGGCCAGCAGACCCCTACATGCCTTCTCGGGCCGGCGTCCCCGCCCGGTCGTCCAGGGGGTCCGGGGCCTGAGGCGACGCACTGGCGTCTTTATCTGAGCGAGCGGTCCCCTCGGCCGCACCGGACGGGCGCGACAACGCGGGGTCGCCCGTGGAGGCTGTGAGCGAATCTGCGTGCTGCCGCCTGTGGTGCCCCTCCTCGGCCTATTGTCTCCTCTCCCCAGGCCTCCGCCGCTCTCGGCAGCCGCGTGCGCTCTTTTGGCTCCGCGGGACTTCTCATGATATGTGTTGGGTGTCATGCCTTCAGTACCCCAAGCGCCCTGCTCGGCATCGTCCTTCCGGATGGTGTGAATACAATGCAAGGTGCCAGGCTTCACAATTTTGCTCACCTTCGGCGTGATGCCATTGAATGAGGCCTTTCTGACAAAGCGCAAACGTATGTCTCATGCCAGCATCCCGCCACACCGTTCTCCTTGTCTTCCTTCTCGTCGACGTGATGTTGGATGCTCCCGTAGCGCCCTCTTCTCCTCCCTGCCTCCCTGCCTCCCTCCTTCCCGTTCCTGCTGCTCCTCCGGCTGCCCACCCCTTCCCGCCCTCCCCCCTCCAGCCCTTCCTCCCGACCTCCGGCGTCGGAAAGCAGGAAGACGTGAACAGGCTGAGCTCTGGCCTCGCCGCCGCGCTTGAAAATTCGATGGCCCGGCAAGTCTCGGGACCACCCCAGGCCCTTCTGAGCCCGGCCAGCGTCAGAGCCCATTCGGCCGCCGAATACACAGGGCAGCCGAGCAGGCTTTTTTTCAACATCGTGGTGGGATTTCGGCCCGTTCGGCAGCCCAATGCGCTCAATCCCAAGTCCGTTCGGCAGCTGAATGTAGTTCGACGCCGAAGGGCTACTAAATGTAAGTATAGGGCACCCCTCCCACAACAACTCCTGAGCAGGATGGGTCGAGCTGGTGGGCCTTGTCCCATTCCCGAACCACGAGAGATGGTGAGATGAACGTCTTTGGCCGTGGCTGTCGTCCTTCTCGGAGGGATTCGCCAGACACACTGGGTGACCGAGACGGGCGAAGGCTGAAGCCGAGACGGAAGCACAGAGAAGCACCAGCTTGCGAGCGGTAGTGCGGCTGGAGAAATCACGATACAAGAGGACTGCCCGTGCCCGCGCCGCATACACCCCGCCCTGGCGCCGCCGCGACGAGCCAAAACCGCCCGGCGTTGAAGAACACAGCCGAACCAACACACTTTTCCCCGTCCCTTCGCTAAGAGGGCTCCCAGATGGGGTCCGAATCGATGGGGTCGGATGATCGCGCCGCATCGCTGATGCATCGGCGCTGTCGGCGTCGAGAAAATCGGGCTCCACATCGAGCCGTATCGGCGATACATCGGCGCTGCGGCGCGATCCTCCGACCCCGTCTACTCCGAGACCCGATCTGGGAGGCCTGGCTTCTCCCCCCGCGCTGCTGGCTGCCGCTGTCGAACATGCCCACAATCTGCAGCGCCGGCGAGGACGGGTTGGCCATGACCGCTCCCCGCCGCCGACGGTCGCTGCGCACGGCGTCGTACTCCCCCCTGACCGAGACGTTCGAGGCGCTCCTGTCCGCGCGCTGGCCGCGCGCATATGGCCCAGGCCGGCAGGCTTGAAACAGGGCGTGGCGGAGAGATTGGGCGTCGCTTCGTGGGGGGGGCGATCAAAAGGGGGAGAGAAAGAGCTCCGCCAAAGGCCCCGTAAGACTCCTTTTGGGCTCTAAAAGGCCCTTGAGGGGTCCTGAAGAGTCCCTTTTGTCTGCCCTCGCTGCCCCCATTCATCGAACTCCCATTACGCGACGCCCAGAGATCAGACACCGAGAGTCCTCCAGCTGCACTGCCCGCGGCACGGGGACACCGCGGCACCTTGTCAGCCTCATGAGAGACTCGCCATCGCTCGGACGTCCATTCCCTATGCGCTTGTCGGCTTCGTGCGTATATTTGCTCGCGAGATGGCCCAAGAAAAAACAGCACACTTGCGAGCGATGCCATGTCGTCGGCCCTGAGGGAGGGCCCTCTGCCTGTTCGAAGCGTGTCCTAGGAGAGGACTGGCTGGATCGGGAACGGGCGACCTTCGACCCTCGCCCCTTCGCGGCCAGGCCACCCAGTGCCGCACCGGGCGTCCGGCGCGGCCGTTTTGGCGCGGGCTGGAGGCGGAGGTCCCCAACGCGGGATGTCGTTGTTTGCTTGTTCGCTGTATATACATAGATGTATGTATCTATGGTGATGGCGGTATATGTATATGTATATATATATATATACACACACACTCTCATTGTCTGTTTGTTTGTTTGTCTGTCTGTCTGTCTGTCTGTCTGCCTGCCTGTCTGTCTGTCTGTCTGTCTGTCTGTCTGTTTGTCTCTCTCTCTCTCTCTCTCATTCTTTCTTTCTATATATATATATATACATATATAGAGAATGCATAGAGAAGTGTTTTGGTAAGCACTTTTCTGTAGGAGAGGACCAAGACAACTGATGCGACGAATGGAGGACGTGCAAACAACGAACGTGATCGAGTGCAACAGGCTGGCGTCTCAAATAGCCAGGCACGCCTGGTCGAGAGGGCGAGTTGCACTCACTAGTCTTTCTCTCGCAAAAGGACCGAGCCCCCTGTAGGCCGAGAGAAATCCATTGACACAATTTGTTATTGATGCGTTCTGGGGATTCCGGAATTTCTAACAGCCTTCGCGCGGGGTACACTTTGCGTATAATATTGTCTACTATGCCTTTCGCCGCTGGTCGGTCACAAATGCGCAATCAAGTAGTCGCCCGTAGAGGGCTATTTGGCACTTGCTGATTCCCCTTCTCATTGCCGAGCACGGGAGGGAGACCGGTGCGGGAGTTCCGACGAATCCGTCCTGGATTCTTCGTGAGGAGAGCTTTTCTGTAAGGCTTTTGGACGGTTTCCCGGAAGGGGGGGGGAGCGAGGAAGGTTGCCAGAAGGTTTTTCCCAAACACGTTCCAAAAACCTGAAAACCTTCCAAAAACCTTCCAACAAACTTCCATACACCTTCCAAAAACCTTCCAATATTTGGTGAAACCGCCGAATACATTCCAAAAGCCTTCCAAACAACTTTTCAAACCAACCTTCCAAAAACCTTCCAAACAACCATTAACAACCTTGTAAGCCAAAAGCCTTCCAACAAACATTCCAAACATCTGCTACAATCACCAAAACTTGTCAAAAACCTTCGCCGCGAAGAATCCAGGGGGGGTTGGCCCAAAAACCTCCCAAAAACCTTCGCGACCAAGGTTTTTGAAGGTTTTTTGCAAGGTTTCTGGAATCCTGGACCCTTCGTGGCAAAGGTTTTTGGAACTTTTTTTTGGGGGGGAAAGTTCCAGGAACCCAGGGTTGTTCGTGGCGATGGTTTTGGGGCGTTCCTTTTTAGAAGGTTCCAGGAATCCGGGATTCTTCGTAACGATTTGTTTTGAAGTTTTCTGGTTTTTGGATAATGTTTGGAAGGTTAGTTGGACAGTTTGTTTGTTCGGTTTTTGGAAGGTTTCTGGACGGTTTGTTGGAAGGTGTTTGGACAGTTTTTGCAAGGTTGTGTGTAAGGTTTTTTTTTAAGGGCGGTTTTTGGAATGTGCTGGGCGGTTGCGGTCAATGTTGGAAGGTTTGTTGGAAGGTTGTTGGAAGGTTTTTGGGAGGCTTTTTTATGCGCTCTTTGGAAGGTTGGAAGGTTTTTGGAAGTTTGTTGGAAGGTTTCTGAAAACAGTCCAAAACAAAACCTTCAAAACACCCTCGTCACGAAGAAACCAGGAGTCCAGGAACCTTCCAAACAATGTCCAAAAACCCATGTCGCGACGAGTCCATGATTCCAGAAACCTTTCAAAACAAAACTTCCAAAAACCTTCGTCGCAAAGGTTTTTGGAAGGTTTGTGGGCCAACCCTTCCAGGATTCTTTGTGACGAAGGTTTTTGGATAGTTCTTGGGAAGGTCTTTGGAAGGCTTTTGTTGTAAGGTTGTTTTAAAAAAGGTTGTTGGAAGGTTTTGTTGGAAGGTGCTTGGAAGGTGTTTGGAAGGTTTTTTTTGGACCTGTTTTTTGAAGGCTTTTGGAATGCATTGGGTGGTTCCGCTAAATTTTGCAAGGTTGTTGGAAGGTTTTTTTTACGACTTCCGGAAGGTGTTCGAAAGGTTGTTCAGAAGGTTTTTAAAACGCATTGGAAAACAACTTGCAGAAACCTTCCTCGCCCCCCCAGGAAAACCTCCCAAAAACCTTCCTCACGAAAAACCCAATATTCTTCGCGACAGAGGTGTTTTGGAAGATTGTTTGGGAAGTTTTTCCAACAACCTTCCAAAATCTATCGGGAGCGCCCACTACATTCAAACGACCTTCCAGCAAACTTCCAAACAACCTTCCAACAAACCTGTCAACACCTCCCAACACCTTCCAACAAACTTTGAAAAAAACAGCGCAAACACTTTTCAAAACACCTTCCAAAAACCTTCGTGATGAAGAGTCCAGGAGGGGTTTGGCCCAACATCCCTCCAAAAACCTTTGTGACGAAGGTTCTTGGGAATTATTTTGGGAAGCTTCTGGAAAACTGGATTCTTCGTGGTGAAAATTCTTGGACAAGTTCATGTGGAAGGTTCCGGGAATCCTGGATTCTTCGCGACGAAGTTTTTTGACAGGTTTTTTGGAGGGTTCCAGGGATCCTGGATTCTTCGCGACAAGGGTTTTTGTTTTTTTTTTGTTTTGTGAACATCTTCCAACATCTTTCAAAAACCTTGCGAACAACCTTCCGAACACCTTCCGACGACTGTCCAGAAACATCTTGATGGCAAAAACCGTCCAAGTCCTTCGCGACGAAGAATCCAAGAGGGGTTGGCGCAGAAAGCATCCAAAAACCTTAGCGACGAAGGTTTTTGGGCAGTTGATTTGGAAGGTTTCTGGAATCCTGGATTCATCGTGGCGAAGGTTTCCGGCAAATGTTCGGAAAGGTTTCTGACATCCTAGATTCTTCGCGACGAAGGTTTTCGTAAGGTTTTTGGATGGTTCCGGGAATCCTGGATTCTTCAAGACGAGGGTTTTTGTACAGTTTTGTTGGAGGGTCCCGGGAATCCTGGAGTCTTCGCGATGAAGATTTTTGGAAGGTTCGTTTGAAGATTGTTCTTATAACCTTCGAAAAACTGTCAAGAATCTTTCAAACAACCTTCCTACAACCTTCCAGCAACCTTCACAAGAAACCTTCCAAAACACCGTCCAGCAACCTTCGTGACGAAGAATCCAGGAGGGGTTGGCCCAAAAACCTTCCAAAAACCTTAGTGACGAAGGTTTTCGGGAGGTTGTTTTTGAAGGTTTCTGTGACGAGAGTTTTTGGTAGGTTTTCTGCAGAGTTCCAGGAATCCTGGAGTCTTGGCGCCGAAGATTTCTGGAATGTTGTTTTTGGAAGGTTTCTCTGAAAACCTTCCAACAACTTTCAAAAACCTTCCAAACAACCTTCAAAACAAACCTTCCCACAACCTTCCAAACAATCATCCACAAACTTTCCAAAAACCTTCTAAGACACCTTCCAACATGTAGCAAAGCCGCCCGGTGCATTTTAAACGCCTTCCAAAAACCTTTCACCAGATTCCTTCCAAGAACCTTCAAAAAACCTTCCAACAACCTTCCAAGAAACCTCCCAAACACCTGCCAAAAAAAACCTTTCCAATCACCTTACCCAAACCTTACAACAACCGTCGAGACAAACCTTCAAACTTGCTCGAACATTTGTTTCGACGGTTCCAGGAATCCTGGAGTCTTCGCGACGAAGGTTTTTGGAAGGTTTCTTTTGGAAGGTTGTTCCGAAAACCTTCCAACACTCTTCCCAAACCCTTCAAAAAGTCTTCCGGAAACATTCCAACACCTTGCCAAACACCTTTTTAAAAACAAAACCTTCCACAAACCTTCAACAACACCTTCCAACATGTAGCGACACCGCCCAATACATTCTAAGCACCTTTCAAAAACCTTCCAGAACACTTTCCAACAACATTCCGGAAACCTTCTAACAAAAACCTCCCACAAACCTTCCAAAAACCCTTAAAGGAAAAAACCGTCCGACAACCGTCCGAAAACACCTTCCAACAACCTTCGCGACGAGGGTTTTTGGAAGGTGCGTTGGAGACGGACGCAGTTGAGTGTTGAGTGTTGTGTTGGACGCGGAAGTGGGATTCCTCTTGTAGAGGATTCCAATGGGATTCAGGTGCGTCCCGCTGCAAAAGAGAATCCTTAAGAACTTTGCGCCGATCCGCCTGCCCGCCGCTCGCCCGACTGCCGCCTGTCCGCTGGCCGCCGCCCTCCGCCCGCTCGCCGCGCTTCCGCGTGCAACGCAGCGCTCAATCACGGGTAGGGTCGGGGCCCCGGGGCGGGTCGGGCAGGCCCTACCCGGCGGGTCGGGCCGGCACGGGTCGGACCCTAACGGGCGGGTCGGGTTGGGCGGGCGGGACATTCCAATAGGATGCATGTGCGAGTGGACACGCGAGAACCCTCGCGGGTCGGGTCGGGACGGGACGGGTCGGGTCGGGCAGACCCTAACGGGCGTGTCGGGCTGGGTCGGGTCGGACCCGAACGGGCGGGTCGGGTCGGGCGGGCGGGGCAATAAAGCATGATGCGTTCGCGAGATGGGCACGCGAGAACTCTAACGGGTCGGGTCGGGACGGGACGGGTCAGGTCGGGCGGACCCTAACTGGCGGGTCGGGTCGGGCGGACCCTAACCGGCGGGCCGGTTCGGGACTGGTCGGGCCCTAACGGGCGGGTCGGGGCGGGCGGGCGGGACATTCAAGTATGATGCGTGTGCGAATGGACACGCGAAAACTCGAACGGGTCGGGTCGGGACGGGGCGGGTCGGGTCGGGCGGGACCTAACGGGCGGGCCGGGCCGCGTCGGACCGAACCCTAACGGCCGGGTCGGGGCGGGTCGGCGGGACATTCCAGTATGATGCGTGTGCGAGTGGACACGAGAGAACACTCAACCTCGAAGCCAGCGAGTTCTAAATGAAACGCATCGGGACCGCGCCGCCGCCCGACCTGGCCAAAGGGCTAAATCACTGGAGGAGTGGGTGGCCCTCAACTGAGAAAAAGGCCCTTGGGGCCTACCCTGACTTCGCCGAGCCTGGGCATCCCGGGCCAGACATGGGGAATGTGAGTTCTGGGCTCAACTGTGTGGCCGCGGGCAATCACAGAGCACTCTACATAGTCTTCGGGATTGGCTGTGTCACGGGATGCGTGTGCCCGTGGAGCCTTTTGGCAGAGAATCCCCATGTCAGCCTGGTCAAAAGCTGGTGGAACCCCAACGTACGGCGACGATCAGGCTGGGCCGAGGTGCGGCAGGGTGCATACATGGGCATCCATCTGCTGAAGTCGTTCGCCCAGCTGGGCGACGTGATCCTTCCAGTTTAGGGAGATCAGGCGATGCCCACAACCACTCTGTCAATGCCAGCATTGTGGTGGATTGAAAGCGGGGCCCTGTCTCGGGTCCGCCGGCGGCGAGGTGGTCCAGGATAGGATCGAGCGCCAGTGTTCCTATGTGTGCCGATTCTCTAAGACACGAAATTGGCCACATTCGTATCATCCACCGCGCCCGTGCCCCAGGATAGGAATTTGCGCCACACTCGTATCTTCAACATTTGCCAGCATGGACCCCATGCAATGGAATTCTTCCGTTATGCAATTCGGAACCTTATGTGCAAACATTGTGTGGGGAGCAGTGCCCGGTTAGCAGTGCCTTCAGTGTCTGCCGGCATAGACGCTGTGCCATAAATCCGCAAGCATGCCCTGCATCGGCCCTGCCAGCTGCAGCGGGGATAAGTTCCTTATCCCTGCTTCGACCTGCAGCCTCTTTAGAGCGACAAGAGGGGGACAAGAACACGGTCAGGGGAATGAGAAACCACGGGGATTCCTAAACATGCCGTGGCTGTGATAACCGGCCGCTCTTCCAGCCGGCCATCTGGAGCGTGGGGTCGACGGGCAGTGGCATTCTCATTGAATCTTCCCCCCCTGCCTGCAATCCTCATCATCAGCATCATCGTCCCCGTCTTCCTCCCCCGCAGGCGTGGCAGAGCAGCATAATTCAAATTCGGCAGCATTCGCATCAGCAGCGGGCCTTCGTCAGCAGTGGATTGTGGTTTCGGCATAGGGGTTGTGCCGACTAAACCGAAAACCGTATGTATGACCTGGAACAGTCATATCCCTCCCCCCCTCCCTCATAATTCCCGTTTTCTTTCCTTCCACTCGTCCGCGTGTTTCCCCCGACAGTGTTTGCACGGTCATCGCATGTACCACCGCCGGCTTGTTCTGGGGCTTCCGAAGGCCACTGTTTGGGGTCATTGGTCGTTGAGCTCCGGCGCCTGGGGTGGAGGCAGCACCCAAAGCCCGCCAGGGGGCACCACCACCAGGGCCAGGCAAGGAGTCCCGCCATCTCAGCAGCACGTTCCCCTGTACGCAGGGTTTGTTTCACTTCCTTTCCCATGTGGGAACCAGCCGACGAATGACAGCGGGACCGTCTGTCCTGCTGGACCCAGGTCCGGCAATTCCCCTCTGGAGACTTGGAGGTCATCATTTTTTTCGTCTTCGCCGCAAGCATGGCGGATCAGAGTGGCCTGGGGGTTAGGCCCGGGCGCTCAAGCATGGGGGGGCCCTTGCGCACATGCGTGGCTCCTGGACGTCGGTCTGGAGGTGAATCGGTGGTTGGGGAAATCGCCTTCAACATACACCACCATCATCATCACCAGCATCATCATCACCAGCATCATCATCACCACCACCAACACCACCACCACCACTATCATCATCATCAGCATCACCATCATAATCATCATCATCATAATCAGCATCAGCATCAGCATCACCATCATCGGCATCATCATTATCATCATCATCATCATCATCATCATCATCATCATCATCATCATCATCATCATCATCATCGCCTCCCTTCCTCTCCAGCCCTAGTCGCCGCGCCGCCCGCCCCGCCCTCCGAAGCAAGTGCTGATAGCTGGCGAGCGCGGGCGCAGAGTCGGACCCGCTCCACAGCTCGTCGAGGGCCTGCCGCCGGCGAGGAGGAACGAGGAGGAGGAGCGAGGAGGAGGAGGAGGAGAAGGAGCTTGATGATGGTGATGATGATGATGATGATGATGATGATGATGATGGTGTTGATGATGATGATGATGATGATGATGATGATGATGATGATGATGATGATGATGAAGTGGAGGAGGAGGAGCGAGGAGGATGAAGAGGAGGAGCGACGAGGGGGGATGGCAAGCGATGTGCGCTCGCGCTATGTCTGACATCCTACCCCCTCGCACCCGCCACTTCCAAACGCGCAGAATTCTTATCTGTCCGCCGGCAAGGGTGCTATAGATGACCTTGATCCCCGAAAAGGCCCCATCGCGCGGTGCACACTCTGAAAACACCTTTCAACATTGGACGAGTACGAGAATGCGGTGGTTGAGCATGAGACACGAGGAAAACCATGATGATGAGGCTGATGGTGATGATGGTGATGATGATGTAGATGATGATGGCGATGATGATGATACTGATACTGATACTGATACTGATACTGGTGATGGTGATGATGATGACGATGATGATGATGATGCTGATGATGTTCCGCAAACCTCCTGCACGCCTCTGGTCTGCACGGGGAAAAACCAGGGAGGGAGAGAGGGGAGGGTGGAGCCGCGGCGCCTCTAGTAGCCCAAGGCGGCCAGGGTCGTGTCCGCGGCCCAGACAACGGCGAGCGCGCAGACACGCTCAGCGAGCGCTCGCGCTGTCGTGCCGCGGCGCCCGCCCCGCTGCCGCCGGCCGTAGAGCTTCGACGCCGCCGCGAGGTCCGCAAGCGCGTTCGCTGCGCCAGCGCTCAGCCGCCCGCCCAACTCGACGCTGATGCTGTGCACGTCGGCGCCGTAGCGGGCCTCCTTGCTCCGGTCACCCGCAGCTGCCGCGGTCCCGGCGACTCTGCTCGCGGCGGGCAGCGCGCTACCCAAGGGAGAGTGCAGGTTAACGTGATGATGCTGATGATGATGCTGATGATAATGCTGATGATGATGCTGATGATGATGGAGGGGGAGGAGCAGGAGGGGTAGCAGGAGGACCAGGGGAATACGGAGCAGGGAAAAGGAGGGGGACGGCGACGACGAGGAACGATTCGGATTTTAGAAGCGTGGCCCGCGCCTGGTGGCGAGAGCGCAATAATCTTTACCGCCGGAGCGAAGCGCCGACCCTCATATTTTTCCACGCTGAGCACCGCGGGTGCCACGACCACTCGGACAAGGGCGGGAAGGGCCGAGCCTGAAATGCTGCCAACGCTGCCTCGGGAGCCATTCTCGAAATGTTCCCGACAATGGTCCGATTGAAACGACACACAACACACGCTAACTTGTCTGGTTCGTGGGGGCACCCCAGCACAATTCAGTGTCATGGGGAAGGGTGGAGAAGAATTCATCTTGTGTAGTGTGGAGGAACGCGGGGCGAGGAGAAGGAACGAGAAGGAAGGAAGTAAGGAAGCAGGAGAATCAGGAGGTCGAGCGTGCCCGGAGGGGTTCATCCGATCAACGACATACCTCACCTCCTGGACCAGGCAGCACTGTAAGGGCCACGAAGGGGCAGACGAAGAGAGGCACAAACTGCCGATGATCTGGTTTGAACACTCCCAAGCTGTGAAGCAAGGCGGTGGGGATAGCATAATGCCGCCACGCAACTGAAAGTGTGCTGACCATCAGCATTGGGTCGACAGCCTGAGCGCCAGAGAGAAATCTTTTGGAACGGGAGGAGGCGGAGACGGCGGAGGAAGAGAGGAGGACGGCGGAGAAAGAGAAGGAAGAGGAGACGGCGGAGAAAGAGAGGAGGAAGAGAGGCGAGGATGATGAGGAGGGGTAGCAAAGAAAAACGCTGCGGGAATCTGATTGTCGCGTGTGTGTACGGAAAGGCTGGCAACACTAGGGTCTGGAATAGCTGTGGCCAGAGCGGTTAGATTAAGGAGAATCGTGCTCGCGCGGGCCTCTGCAAACATACCACAAACGGAACCCGCACCCCGCCAACAACTAACAAAGACCTCATGCAAGGTATCCCCAAGGAACCCCAGCCGACCCGACGGGAATCTCTGTGCATGAAGCGACCCGCAAGGATGGCGGAAGACCTAACCCAATGTATGAAACAAATGAGTCCGACCATCCCATGGGGGCCCGCTCGGGCCGATGAACGACACACAACGTGTTGCCCGAAAACCGCTAAAACGAAAACGCTGGCATGGTCAACAGGGTGCGGCCCTCGCCGACATAATAGAAACACAAGCGGGCGACCTGTAATACATGACACAAGCATTCGGTCGCGACTGCGACTGCCACGCCCAAACCGCTGGCCAGAGAACACAGAAGGCTTGCGCGCCCAATGTGGCCCACGCGACAGTGGGTCACCCCAAGCATGCTGGGCCCCTGCGTTCCGAATCGTTACGTTTCCTATATGTCGCGCGCACCGCGCAGGGAACCCACGCAAGGGTGGGTCACCCGAAAACTATGTGCAAACATCCAATTGTTTCGCTTGCACCTTTGGCCTCTGCATGAGGTGGTGGATTTCCATTCGACACGTTCCCCCTACGGCGCGCACCACACACGTGACCCACGGGATGGCGGGTCACCCGGGAACTGTTTGAGAAAAACACATGGACTGGGTTTCTCTGCATGACGTGAAGCAATTTCGTACGTACGTTTTCAGGTATTTCACGCCCGCCACACAAGTTACCTACGCATGGGTGGGTGACACGAAAACTGGTTGAGAAACCCAATGTATTGTCACTTGTATTCTGGGCCTCTGCCTGAGGTGATGCGCTCCCATTACGTGTGATCCCCGTCTTCCGCGCGCACTGCACATGTGACCCACGCAGGGGTGAGTAGTTGTGTACTCCGCACGCGCCGCACAAGTGACCCACGCACGGGTGGGTCACCCGAAAACTTGTTAAGAACACAACAATTGCCGCTGCATTGGGCGACACATTCCCATTCAACGCATTTATCGTCTTCCGAACGTGCCGCGCAAGTGACCCACGCGCGGGTTGAGAAACCCAAGCTCCTGTCACTTGCATTCCCACTCGGCGCGTACCCGTGCGGCACGCGCACCACGCGCGTGATGTGATGCTTTTCCACTTCACATTTGCTTCATGCATTCCGCGCGCACCGTGTGACCCACGCGCGGGTGGGTCCTCGGAAAGTGTTTGGGAACTCAGATTCTTGTCACTTGCATGATGGTCTTCCGCGCGCACCGAACAGGCGACTCACGCGCGGCAGGTCACGCGAGAACTAGCTGCGAACAACTAATGGTACACGAGGGTGGGCCACCCGACATCTGATGGAAAAAAACACCGATACGTAGTTCCACGTGCACTCTGGGCCTCCACATGAGGCGACGCATTCCAAGCCAATGTGTATGTTTGCCGTCTTCCGCGCAGGTGAACCTCGCGCGGGTGGGTCACCCGGAAACTGATGAAGAACAACCTGAGGATCCACCTGCATTCTGGGCCCCGACATGTGGCGGTGCATTCCCGCCCGACGCGTTTCCCGCGCGGAGCGCGCGCCGCGCAGGTGACAGGCGGGCGGGCGGATTACCCGAGAACTGGTTGGGAACAGCCAATTGTTTCACTTGCATTCTGGGCCCCTCCGCGAATTGATGCCTTCCCGTTCGACTCGTTTCCCATGGGGCGCGCGCTCCGCGCAGGTGGCCCCCGCTCTGACTCAGGTGGGTTGTCCGACAACCGGCCGAATAAAACAAATTACAACCGAAAATGAGATGGAGAAAATTGTGGTTCAAGAAACCGCAGCAAGCTTTCCGGAAACTTCTTCAAACGATCCTGGGACAATGTCTGCTGTTCCCTCTAGAAGGGGGCGCGCGCTCAGAAACTGGGCCAACTTCTCGGCTGATTGGTTAGAAAACGCCGGCATTTTTCTCTGGTGTTCATTGGCCAGATGATTGACCACAATTCGATTGCATTTTGGGCCTCTGCGTGGCGATGCGCTCCCGGTCGACAGGTTTCCCGCGCGGCGCGCGCGCCGCGATGGCGGCGTGCGCGCGGGCGGGGCGCCCAAAACCGGATTGGGAGAAACACTTGGTCACATGTGCATCCTGGGCCACCACGCTAGGCGATGCATTCTCGCCAAATGCGTTTCCCGCACAGCGCGCGCGCCGCGCAGGTGGCCCCCCGCGCGGGTGAATCGCCCGGGCACGTCCGAAACCTGTCCGAGACAAACCAAATGCTTTATTTTTTACCCTCCCGCATGATGCCGCGCATTCCCGCTCAGCGATTGCGTTTCGCGCGCCCCGCCCGCGCGGCGCAAGTGGCCCGCCCGTGAACTGATGAAGAATAGCCGCGCGGTTCACTTGCATTCTGGGCTTCGCCATGGGGCAGCGCGCCCCCGCTCGCCGCGTTCCTCGCGCGGCGCGCGCGCGCCGCGCAGGTGGCCCGCGGGCAGGTGGGCCACTCGAGAACAGGCTGGAAACAGCAAACCGTTTCATTTAATTTCTGGGCCCTCCACATGGGGCGACGCATTCCGAGCCGACGCGTTTCCAGCGGGGCGAGCGCGCCGCGAGTGGCCCGCGGGCGGGAGGGCCACCCGGTAAATGGTTGAAGCGGACATGCTGCTTCACTTGCGTTCCAGGTCCCCACCTGATGCGCCGCATTCCTGCTCAACGCGCGCATTTGCAATCTTCCGCGCGCGAAGACTGGTTGGGACAAGACAAGTGCTTCTTTTCTCGCGACGCGATCGACGCGCGCGACCCGCGGGCGGGCGGGTCAATCGAACAAATCTTGGGAGATTCGTTGTTTCACTTGAATTCTGGGCCTCTACGTTGAGTGCGGCATTCCTGCTCAATGCGGTTCCCGTGGGGCGCGCGCGCAGCGCGAGTGATTCAAGCGCGGCGGGTCACCCAACGACTGGTTGAGGCAATCACATGTTTCACTCGCATTCTGGGAACCTGCGCGCGGCGATGCATTCCCATTCAATCCGTCCCCCGTCTTCCGCGCGAGCCGCGAAGGTGCCCTGCGGGCGGGT